ATTTATCAAAAAGTAATCAAGAACTACCACCTAGAGGGTATCCTGCGACACACTTAGGCTCAAGCTGTAAGAGAAAATTCCAATTAGTAGAGAAAGCTGAATCAATTACCCTCTTTATTCAGTCAAAAATTATAAATTAACACAAGCAAGTTTTCGCGTTATGAGCACACAGTTTTTCTCAAGACACCATTTTTGAGAAACACAAAAAACTCGCTTGGATATCTTTTGCTTGGTCGATATTTTCATGTTGATAAACTGGAAAAAATTATGCAGCTTTAAGCAGACTTTATTTGTGAGAAACACAACCACAAAGAAGCAATTAGAATTTTTAAATTAATATTGAAACTTGCATTGTTTTATTAAAATGTTTTACGACGATTTATCGGCCAATATTTTCTGGTAATGCGCTGGAAAATGGCTGCATTATCCTGCACTGAACAAAAAACGGCTTCATAGTAAACTATTTCATTTCTTCACGGACACCGTGGTGCTAATTTTTTTCTATTATTAAGTTATTCTATTAGTGTTGATGTGTGCTTAGATTAACACTTTATGTTGCTTTTTAAGTGTTAATTACGGATTATATTATCGCATTTTTAAAATGATTGTTAAACAATATCAATTCCATTCACTCGCTTCCATGCCCAACTATGATGAGGCATTTTAAGTAACAAATTTGTTCGTCGCGACTTTATGAGATTTTTGAGTAAATTCCAACCGATCGCTTTGGTCTTTTCTGGCCTCAATCGGTTTTCTTCGAACGAAGAAACACCCCCATTGTATATGTTGTAAATTATTGAAAAATGTGGACAAGGATTAAAAAAGCACTTCTACTCAGCTTTACACTTAATAGCATCAATTTCAAACTTTTACTGGGACAAAATTCTATTCAGGTGATTTATTCGCTCGATATTCCGTTGTTGATACACTGGAAAAACTCAGGCAAAGGGCGATAATCGAATAATTTAGAACCACTACGTGCTTATACACTGAAAAAAGCGCTTACATTAAAAAACACAATATCTGCTTTCAGTGTTTTTGCGCTGTTTTTTGTGCACAAATTTGCCTCGATTTCGGATATCAGCCCTGTTTAGGTCGCACTTAGAGTTGCAAATTTCACTCTGGACTGTCTGGATGTTTTGGGTTTAAAAACCGTATCGCCCAAATTGGGCCAGATAGTATCCGTTTTCAAGGCGATCTATTTATGCATTATCGGTTTCATATTCCCTCAGTAAGTGGGCACGAAAGTAGGAGAAGAGCAAAACCGATAATGAGCCTGAACGGCTCTCATTTTCAATAACCCAACCCCACTTTTAAGGGATACTTAATCACGAAACCTCGATGCCTAGCAGATTCGCCATGACTACGTGGCAGTTTTCGAGGAGAAAAAATACGTTTAGTTGGCGCTTTTTCTTCTAAGTGCCCTGTTTCGAGTAGGAATTAAGGCTTTTTTGCACGACTTGCACAATTAGAGTAACAAGCGCTTGGAATTTTCAAGATGACCACTTCGAGGGGTTCAGTTGAAAAGGAAAAATGCCCGCTTTTACAGAAAGTGTGAAGAATCAATTGACTTTTGCTTTCGCGGTTTTTTCAGCTTCAAAACATCAACCAGACGAGCCGTTTCTGATATCGGAAATCCGAAGAGGATCGATCGCCCATCGAACTGGCACTTTGCATGCTGGTGATCGGTTGCTTGCTATTGATGGACGACCCATCGATCATCTGAGGTAAGACTTAAACTACCCGTATTCAAACACGTTGATCCAATTTCCCTAAAACCCGCTCAAAACCTTACGACGAATGGCCGATGTAATTGTCTCTCAATTAGAGATGTTAATCATTTAGCGTTCACCGAGCAAATTTGCATGATAATTATCCAACTACTCGACGAAAGAACTAATAGAATTAAGTCATTTTTCGCTCAAAAGTTGAAAATCAACGAACTGAGCAGTGGAACAATGGAACGTCTTAGTCGATTTTATTCAGTATTTTYAGTTGATTTTATTTACTTTATTATGCACGGTGTCTTGAAGAATAACGTGACTTGAGTCTAGGAYTCGAGTTTTTCAAAGGTTYCTTGAACAGTTGYAAGCTCATATTGTTTGGTTTATTTAAAAAAAACTCCMTTATTTTCAGTTAAAGAGTTAYAAGGGATGTGGAAATTATTTAATGCTGAATGGGCTCCAATCCGAATATGCAGACTTTCATGCGAGCGGCTTGCAGAACGTTTTACTAATCCCATGAAAAATTGGAATTTGTCAATSCAGAAATAAAAATCGATGCCACTCSGTTACTTTCCTGGCATTTGTTTTCTCAATCAGAAATCTTTTASTRCAGACATTCGCATYTTGAAGCATTTTTTCGATTCAAARWTATTTATTTTCTCGCATACTATCGAKAAAATTGCAATTCTGCTGCAATATTTAGCTTTTTGAGACAATTTTTGCTGAAAACGCGTACCATCYSAATRRGTGACTTCTATTWARAAAAGTTTTTTGGCTCAAAATAGCAGATTTTTTTCAARAAAGRGCCCATCAATATGGGGCTTATTTTATGCTGAATTTGTCTCAAAAAGACGAATATGCGCTCAAAATGCGCCTGAAAGGGCTTTGAAGCGAAAAACTTGCAAAATGTTGCTCTGAATGTCGCTTTCACGCATTTATTTCTTTTATTTCCGGAACTGGGTTTAAATGGCGAAATTTCGGAGATCACTTTTCGTTCTCTGTTGACCACTTGAGTGTGGAAAAATGAGTAACATGAAAAATTGAATTTTTTCAAAACGAAAATTTTTCCACAAAAAAAATATATTATATATGAAACAATGCGTTTAAGTTTTCCGGAAACTTTTGTGGGCCTGGTTTTCTACTCAAGGCCTTACACTTTGAATATGTGGAATTTTTGGAAAAAATCAACTGTGTTTGTATCTTTGGAGTTTGCGACGCATTAATTTCTCATAAAATTATGGACGTTTAACAAATTGCAGCTTGGAGTCCGCTTTCGATATCCTCCAAACCTCAACCAATGACATAGTGACCCTGAAGGTGGAGAAAACCGAAACGGAGAACTCAAATCTATTCTTGGACAGCGTGGTTTACACTGTTGAGCTTCACAGGTAATGACTTGTAATACTGCACGCAAATTTGCGAAATATTCGCATAGTGTTTAATTGCGGATTAATTAATAGTTAAATGGGATGAAAATGCAAATTTCATTTCTCACATTCGGTGTCTAAATAAATGGCATTAATTCGCACTATACTTTCATTAAGCTGGCTTCAGATACTAATGAGCCTGAACTTAACACCGACTCCGAACTACTTTGGCTCCGGAGTTGTCCATTAATAACCTAAATTGTCCGTTGTAACAGTGTAGGTGTTTACGGCTGTACAAGCTGGAAATTGCCGGAGTGTCGACGTTGATTTTCCAGAATTTTGATAAATTGCATGTGGATTTTTAATGGCGCGTCTACATGTAAAAGAACCAGAAAAAATTACTGTGATCGGATGCGAAAGCACCCAAACAAAACAATTTATAATTAATCAAGGCTACAATTGCCGGGTCGCAAGCCCTTAAAATTTATTTAGTTCATTTATTATGTTTTTTGCTCAACGTTACATTTTGACTTAGGGCGCAGTTTTTCCTTAACAAACTTTACAGCCTGTTCTCGTATAATTAATTCCTGAAAAAAACTAGGTGTTTGTTTTCAGCAATAAAGCGGGTTTCCTATAAAGGAAACTTTACTGCGCCTAACTGTCTAATTTTCGTTTATTTTGGAAAGTTTACTTTCTTTCCACAAACCTTTCTGTATCAACACATTTTCCCGATCTTTAAACAAACAGCTGCCAAATTTGCCCTAACTTTGAAACTGGATAACTTTCTATTGCTGCAAGCGATTTGATTTCTATTTGAAGTGTTATCGAGCACAGCTTTTTTTCTGTTAGTGTGTCTTTTTAGAAAAACTACGTACTTCATGTGAAGTTTATACAGGGTGTAAAATTAAAACATGCAAAATTTCCAATAGTTTCGCGAGCTCCCAGTTGCGCATGAAAGCGTTTTTTGCAGTTCTACGCCAAAAGCGTCAAGACCTAATATTTCGAAAAGGTTTTTTAATTTTTTGCTTATCTTTTTCATGTACAGGGTGATCTCAAAAAATCAAGTTTTTTGGTTTCGCAGTGTTACCTATTTTATCGGGGCGCCACTTGCAAAAAATACTGTTGTATGCTGAATCTGAAACTTCCTAGTCGACCTAAGACAATATACAGGGTTGCATCAAAATTGACCCAAATCAGAACTGCCACTGATAATGGCAGATTTTCAATTAAAATCGAGTTTACTCTCCACCACCGTATATTCAAGCACCTCTATTGTTTCTGTATTGTTCGAATATGAAGTTTTAGCTTCAGTATGAAATAGAAAATTTGAAAATCGGTAAAGGACGAAAAATGTTAAAACTGCACTATTTTTGTCAACATTTTTGTTCAAATTTAGTCTTTTTTGAGTCTGAAACAAATATGTTTATTGGACTGAGTTGAATGTGGTTGTCCCGATCGTTGGAAAACAAAAACACTCTTTTTCGTTCCCATTTTTAGCTCCGTGTCTTCGTTTTGCAGATACCGAGTGTCACATTTTATTGTTTTTGCTAATATTTTTAGAACCGTTTCGTATCGTGTAAGTTTTCTTCCCTAACTTGTGCTACAATGGAAAAATACAAAAAAATATCTTGGTTTGCTGCTTTAAAGTTTGCCGGTTGTAAAAAAAATGGGTTTTTATGATCAAAAACTTGTTTGTCAAATGTTTCCATCCCAACGCTTAACTTAAAAAAGGTATTTTCAGGCCTGGATTTTTGAACTACTGTAAATTCAAAATATTGCATTACCTTTTTTATTTCAACCCTTTCTGAGCCTTCAATTGCTGCTGCAGACATCGGTTACGCTGCAAACGTAATTTTAGTAATGTTTTCGTTATTTCAAAGTTGACTGTTACCATCCCGCTATGTGGAATCCAACCAACTCGGATTATTAATTCTAACGTTCCGACTGGAAGTTAAAACAACTTTTGTATTTGCCGGCACTACAAATCAATTGCTCAACTTTAAACTGGTTGGAAACAGCGGATTATATCCCGTATCCACAATTACGGTTTTGTTTTTCTAGTGGAAACTGGCTGGATTTCGTTTTAATTGAGTTGCTGGTTATTATTTTAAGTTTTAAAAGGTCTAGCTAATCCATTATGGTTCATAATTCTATATAAATTCGACTCGAGGTTGCGATAATGGAGGGCGAAATGTTTGATTAACTTTTTGGGTCGGCACCGTTCAATGGAAACGCTGCCAGGGCGAATTCTTCGGCCATCCATCCTTATGGATTAAGTGTGAGAACTGGAAAGTTTTTAATTATCTGTTGACTGTGGCAAATCCTTTTGTTGGCTTTGTTGCCAGCTGAGTGTTTTGGAAATTGGCTGATTCTATAAAGGGGACTTAATCAATTAAATGAATAATTAATTAGGGAGGGCAGCTTCCAAACTTGAGAGCTTCGCTCTGTATAAGCAATTGGTGGTGTCAGCGAAAGTATCTTTTGGACGACAGCAATCAGGATGGTGGAAAATATTTGAAAGATTAGCACAAGTTTTTTTGTTATTCTAAGCAAGTACATTAAGGAAACTTTCACGTAACTGTGGGTTATTCGCAATGACTTTTGAAATCAAACCAGTCGCGATTTTACGCCACCAAATAGACCAAAGTTTGTATGTTTGTTCATCCTGTGGTTTTCTTGGAGCTGTGTGCTGATTTTATAGAGTTTTTTCGGTACTAAATGTCTCAAACTTTGCTCCATCTTTCCTTAAAGTGTGGTTTCCTTGGAGCTACTGGCTAATTTTCGAAAATTATTCAAAGTGAGACTTGCAATAACTTTTGCGACTAAATTTGTCTGGCTTCAAAAAGGCTCTGGCACACTTTTAACTGCAGAAGGCAGACCAAGCCTCATTCATTGATTCCTGAAAGCTTCCGTTTTGTGGCGCTTTGGGCTGAATTTTGAGATTTTTCCAAATCCAAAGTCAAAAGAATAAATTTGCACCGGTTGCTAAAAAATTCATACCGTCAAATCCAGTTGGGATGCAAAAGCGCATTTGGCGGAAATAAATTGAGAGATCCTTACTCTACGTTTTTTCACAGTTTGAGTTTGTTAGAGCCGTGGGCAGATTTTTGAGCATTTTTTGAAGTGTTGAAGTTTTCGAACATTTTTTGCCACTAAATTTACCGACGGTTGTTTAAACATTGATTGTCATCAAGCCAGTGGAGACAGAAACGCTTTTAACAGCAGAGGACAGAATTTCAAAGAACTATTGCAGGCCACATTTCAAAAATAAAATTCTCTAAAACGAAAAATACTCTACAAGTTCAAAGTGCGTTCAGTAAAGACAAGAGCCCTCTAAATGTCGCTAAAGTTTCTTATAACATGCAAAAAATAATTCGAAAAGTAATGCTAAACTTACCAAAAACTGCGAAGTGCCACGTGGATAGAAAGAAGAAAATGTGTTTAGTACCGCAGAAAATCTGTCCAAACCCACTTATTTTAAATCAGCAAAAAGCAAAGAGAAAGAAATATAAAGAATCCATCAGTTCATTGACGGAAAACTAAAATCAGTTCAAGCTAAAAAAATTATAGATTAAAAATCATTCTTACCAGATTTTTGCATCATGGCGCCCCATCCTCCATGTTCTACAAATTAATCTTCAAAAAGTTTTTTTGCGCATTTTCAAATTTTTAAATTTACAAATGCAATTATTTCTAAATATAAATTTATACCTGTTGTTGAAAAATTGATTACATCCAAACCGGTTAGGACAGAAAAGCGTTTTTACGCCAATGAAAAGAGCAATCTTCACTTTGTGCTTTTTCAAGTTTGGTTTCCTTAGATTTGCGGGCAGAACTTGGAGCATTTTTTAAAGTGAAAATTGTCATGAGTTTTTCCACAAAATGAGCACTCTTCACCGTATGTTTTGTCGGAGTTTGGCTTCCTTCGAGCTGTGAGCTAATTTCTGACCTTTGAATACTACTTTTCAATGACTTTTGCCACTAAATTCACCCGTCGTTCTTTAAAAAAATAATTTCGTCCCAACTGGCTGACAAGGAAATACGTTTTTCACCCAAAAAATAGAAGAAGCTTTCCTTTAAGTGTCCTCAAAGTTTGATTTCCTTGCAGTTCTCGGCTAATTTTTGAAATTTGCTAAAAGTGAGACTTGTAATTCGCCAGCTGATGATTCCTTGGAGTTTCATTTCCATGCAAGTTTGCCCTCCCCGACCCAATTTGGGCTTTTTAAAATCCGGACGACTACAAAAGTTACCTTCCAAAGGACGCAATTGCAATTGAAAATTAATATCGGCATGATTGTGCGTTCCAGAGTACTGAGCATAACTCGGGAAAAATAAACTAAGAAGTCCGCAATAAGAAAATCAATAGCTGAGACAGCGCTTTCAATGCAGCAACTCGGAGAGTTGTTAATCAGCTTGAAGATCACCTTAAACGGGATCTCAGGTACGGCTATGAATATTACATGGAAACACGGGTCAAGGCGCCTTTTGAGGAAAACGCAAATTGCTCAACAATTTAGGGTGGATTCGATTATTCTGGTTGCAATTTCAGCTGAAATATTTGTGAAAAACCTTTATTTAAAAATTTACTAATTTGCAGATACGGCGGCCCGTTGGGCATTACGATATCAGGCAGCGAGGATTCTGGAGATCCCATCATCCTATCCAGATTAACTGAAGGTACTAACAAGCAGTAATAAGTGCAACAAGGCAACTCAGAATTATTGCGTGTATTGGAAAGAAAAGGAACATCGACTAGGCTCTATCGCTTTAAGGAGCCACGCCTACCAGCGTTTTCCTTCTCCTTCCTCTGCACGCGTTTGGCACCCCACCTTGTTCAACTCAATTGACGTGTTAATTCGCACTGTATTTTTAGGAGGTTTGGCTGAAAAAACTGGGGCCCTTCATGTGGGTGATCGAATTTTGGCAATAAATGGAGACAATTTGGATCAGCGGCCCCTTTCCGACGCCATCCGGTTGCTGCAGACATCAGGAGACAGAGTTCAATTGAAAATAGCGCGGCACATAAAAAATGGTAGGAGGATCAGGCAAAGAAAGCAGGATTGCTCCTGTAAGGGAAAATGTTTTTCTAGATTTGACTCTTTTAGAGGAGCCTAGATGTAGCTATTCAAGTCCAGGGCTTATGAGTGTAGACAGCGCTATACATAGCTGGGATAGCAGCAATACGGGCGACACTCACAACGAACACACTTCGGGTAAAAACATCACTTTTCATTAAGTTTTCTTTGGTTGACTGTTGTTTTTAGAACTTAAGGACATCGAAAGTGTGCTGAGCGATCAGCTATCCTATCAGGATCAGATCCACGAGCAGGACAAGGATCTAACGTTGACTAAATCGAGAAAAAGGAATTCTGAGCTGCAGTACTACTCAGATACTGAGGAAATGTTCTGTCCCAGTCCGTTGCCTTTGCCGAACTACAATTTCGGCAACAGCATGATGTGAGTATTTTTTCTACGTCTCTTGATCGGGAGGAACAAAAAATGTCGAAAGAGATCCAATATATTGTTGTACCAGACTGTAGGTCTGAAACTGATATTTTAATAAAAAGTAAGTGTGCTACATGTAGCTTTAACACCTCTGAAGATGCAAGCTTTTTCTAAGTAATTGAGATTTTGTCTGAGCTGCAACAGAACCACTAATAACAGTAATTTAAAGTTTGAGAAAAAACCGACAAATGAAGACTAATGAAAAAAACATTGAATTCTTCGGATAATTACATGCAATTCTTCCAGAATATTTTTCAGTTCTTTCACGTTTTGAACTTGTTTCATCGCCACTTTTCCACAAATACCATTTTTTAGTGTAAACCTAACACATCTTTGCATGCATAAAATTTAAAAAAAATTGTTTAAGTTAACTTAATTATTTTTCAGTCACTACAATCACCATGGGGGCACTATTGAACGACTCACCGGATCCTGCAGCACTGAGAATATTTTGGAAAGGGAAATCTATCACGTTACTTTATATAAGGTTTGTTTTCAACCGCACTATTTGCCGCAACTTGTTTTTTGTTCGTTTGCAGGATTCCATTTACGACGATTATGGTTTTAGTGTGAGCGACGGTCTTTATGTAAAAGGTGTTTATATCAATAGAATAAGAAAAGGCGGTCCTGCTGATATCGTAGGCCTGTTGAAGCCCTATGATAGAATCATCCAGGTCTGCATCATCATCTGCATTTGCCTACAG